GATGCACAATCCAAATGTCATGAGGTTGTTTTGTAGCTCGGAGGCAAGGGAAAAGATGGCTACCGTCGGGCACGCGTCATTTGCATTATACTACTTCCTAAGCCAAATTGCAATGGAGGAAGACATGAAATCGAATACGACGGTAATGCTTCTGGAAGGATTGGTAGAGTGTTGCACCGATTATTGGCAGAAGCAGCTCGCGCTACACCAGCTCGGAGTCGTAATGTTAGAAAGGAAAGAATACAAAGACGCACAACATTGGTTCGAGGCCGCCGTGGAGGCGGGTAACCTCTATTCATTAGTCGGCATAGCGAGGGCCAAGTACAAACGGGGACACAAGTACTCGGCATACAAATTGATGAGCTCTCTCATTTCTGATCACGGACCAATTGGGTGGATGTACCAAGAGAGATCCTTGTATTGCGCTGGGAAGGAGAAGATGATCGACTTGAATGCCGCGACCGAGCTAGACCCAACCCTTGTGTTTCCATACAAGTACCGAGCCGTCATGCTATTGGGGGAGAACAAAATTGGAGCGGCGATCTCGGAGATCAACAAGATAATCAGCTTCACGATCTCACCCGACTGCCTAGAGCTAAGGGCCTGGTTCTTGCTCGCCCTAGAGGACTACGACGCTGCGTTGCGGGATGTACGGGCGCTCTTGACGCTGAATCCAAACTACATGGTGTTCAATGGGAATATGCATGGGAACCAATTGGTGGAGCTTCTTAAGCCTCATGTCCAGAAGTGGAGTCAAGCTGATTGTTGGATGCAATTGTATGATCGGTGGTCATCGGTCGATGACATCGGCTCCTTGGCCGTGGTGCATCATATGCTGGAGAATGATCCTGGCAAGAGCCTTTTACGATTTCGCCAATCCCTCCTCCTCTTACGGTGAGCGTGTAGAGATTCAATAGATTCCGAGTTTCTTTGATTTGAAGCTGCCAATACATGTAGAAGTTGCAAAATGAAATTTTGCGTATTAATCATGTATCTATCCTGAATCAATACCTAAATCCTAGAGTATAATACTCAAAACTCATCGCTTTTCTTCAATTCCTAACATAGTACAAAACTTCAGCTGGTGAATTAATTCATCACAAGTGAAGGTCATTTGATACCTTCTGCTCTTCTATTTTCTGAAAACTCATTAATTGATGCTCTAAAATATGCAGATTAAACTGTCAGAAGGCGGCGATGCACAGTCTGCGACTGGCTCGGAACTACTCCAACTTCGACCACGAGAGGCTCGTCTACGAGGGTTGGATATTGTACGACACCGGCCACCGCGAAGAAGCGCTCGCTAAGGCCGAGGAGTCCATCTCGATTCAAAGATCATTCGAAGCGTTTTTTCTCAAGGCATATATCTTGGCCGATTCAAGCATGGACTCCGAGTCCTCAACGTACGTCATTCAACTCCTTGAGGATGCTCTCAAATGCCCTTCAGATGGTCTCCGAAAAGGACAGGTAAAATTCAAGACTTTATCAAAACTATCATATTTTTGTAGGTATAATTACTGTCGTCATGACTTGGTATAACGCGTATTTCAACTTTCGACTCAACTATACTTTGGAAACCCTAGCTAATCCTATACTCGACTTTCTTTCATTTACTTCGCAGGCACTAAATAATCTTGGAAGTATTTATGTGGACTGTGATAAGTTGGATCTCGCGGCTAATTGTTACATGAATGCTCTTAACATTAAGCACACGCGAGCTCACCAAGGCCTCGCGCGAGTGTACCACCTCAAGAATCAGCGCAAATCCGCGTACGATGAGATGACGAGGTTGATAGAGAAAGCCAAGAACAATGCGTCGGCCTACGAGAAGCGCTCCGAGTACTGTGACCGCGACATGGCAAGGAGCGACCTCGCTATGGCGACGCGGCTAGACCCGGTCCGGACATATCCATACAGATACAGAGCAGCAAGTAAGTCACAACATCAAACATTCTTACAATAATTATCTCTCTATAAACTACGATTGTAGCCGTCGATTGAGTTTTTCTTGACTTGGAAACACGCTAAAATTGATGCAGTTCTAATGGATGACCATAAAGAAGGCGAAGCAGTACAAGAGCTCACGAAGGCGATTAACTTCATACCCGATCTGCAGCTACTTCATCTCCGAGCAGCATTCCACGACTCCATGGGCAACACCGGCGCCGCCATAAGGGATTGCGAAGCGGCCCTATGTCTCGATCCCGACCACGTCGAGTCGTTCGAGTTATACACCAAGGCGCGGGAGCGAGCTAAGGAACAGCAAAAATGAGAGCGCGATCGTGTGTCTTGTATCTGCATTGCCTCTGATTTGATCCGATAAGTTTGTTATGCCTTACGAGGTAGTAACCACGCAAGAATGGCCGTCGCCAGGGGGCGAGGGGGGGTAACTGTTGGTTCTTGTTTCTTGATACACGCCCAAGTCACATCTATCATTGATTTTTGGTAGAAATATTGAGAGATGATAGCATGTATATATACCGTCTTTTGAACTGCAATAGCCATGGAGGGTTCGGATTTTCACTAATGTCGATGGTGCAGTACAAGATCGAATTCAGCTAATGGTGATCGTCGCGCGAAAGCAACCCCAGCATGCGAGGCTCGCTATTCGATTGGTCGAGTCATCTATCTTCCAGTCAGTTGATTCAATGCAGTTTTATAGCATTTGTCTCTTAAAGTCAATTTATGAGCAAACCCTACTATCACCTAAAGCTGTTAAAATGGGTTATAGATCTACTTTTAAACCCATATTTAATGAATTGGACCGTGAAATTGACAAATAGTATATAAAAAAAAAACGGATTTTAATGGGTTTAGAATAGTACAACTCGATTGAATATGATTTTTTGATGGGTTTAGACTCTACCTAGACCCCGTTCACTTGCGAGTTCGTGACTCTCTTTGCTCTCTCTCTCACTCACTCCGCACTCTCACGCCTCACCGTCTCCATCACTCTTTTAATTTGGGCGTTCTCTATGCCCCCACTCTCCCACTGCCACCTCTTCCATTGCATTCCGGTGCCCCTCTTCTTCACTTCTCCACCACTAACAAAGCCGGAGCTGGTGTAACTCCGCTGAACTTCAGAGAGAGCCGCTGCGACCGCATCACCTCTTCTCCCCCTCCCTCTCTCCACCACCGTCGCACCACCTCTCTTGTCGGAGATCCTTGCATGCAAATGGGTGGGTCGGATCGTTCACCACCGTCGCACCACCTCTCTTGTCGGAGATCCTTGCATGCAAATGGGTGGGTCGGATCGTTCACTTCGCGGGCAAGAGAAGGCACCAAATCATTATATCATCTCTTTTCCAATGTGAAATCATAATCCCCATCGGATGTAGTCGCTAGGGGTGAGCATGGTCTGGGTGGGTTGGTCCAGCACCTAACTCAGGGATTAACCTGCACAGTGTTAATTCTCAATTTTTAGGACCAGAGACTGACCCTACTGAGCCGGAAACCAAGGACTGGACCGACCTTGTGGGTCCAATCCCGGGTTTGGTCCGGTTCTAAAGTCAACCCTAGGCCAACCAATTCTTTTTTTATTTCGTTTTTTGTATTACTTAAAAGGACAAATATACTCTTTGAAATTTCAGAACTATTGAAATTAGAACACAAATCTGCTTATTGTTTACTTAATGATCAATAATGTGGCATTTCTCATTCTTAAATTAAGTTTTTAACTCTGCTAGAGTGAGAGCTGCTGAGATTGCCAAATTCATCTATGTGAGTTGAATTAAGGTCTCATAATGCCCCACGATTATATCCACATGTTTATCACCTTTGTTTCAAGCATGAAAAGAGAGATTATGATATTACAGATTCTTGTTTCGAGCATGAGAAGGGAGATTCTAATATTGCAAATTTTGACAAGAACTCTAGTTACAAGCCCCGTTTTGTTGTTGTTTTTTCAAATATTAAGATGGTTGTTGATATTCATGTTGAAGCATCAAACATTAACGAAAAGAAAGTGTTGTTGTGATTGTCAACGAAGATGCCAAATGAATGTGGCCATTCAAGTTAACATTCCCGGCCTATGTTTTTCTTAGAACCGAGTATGGAGGTACTTACCTTTGGGACGCACATGTCGATTGTGAATGATGATCAATCTAAATTGCTTAGATCATGGAGTCTTTGTTGCCAATGATCGGCACCGATGAAGATAAACGAGCAAGGAGAGAGTCGTTGCTAGAGAGAGAGAGAGAGAGAGAGAGAGAGAGAGAGAGAGAGAGAGAGAGAGAGAGAGAGAGAGAGAGCTGCTAAGAGGTCGAGAAGAATATGAGATCAAGGGAGAGAGTTGGAGTGAGACTCGGAGAGAGGGAGAGGAAAAAGGGCGAAAGAAGAGGAGGGGCTGGGCACCTTAGGTTAGATGCCTGGCGTGTGGAAATTTTTTTTTTTCCTAAAGCGTTGGGATTAAGGATCACTCCACACGGTACAGGTTCCAGTGGCCCCAAGACCCGGGACCGGCCCAATCCCCTCGGGAACCGGACTAGGACCGGCCGGGTTGGGCCGGTCCGGGGTTTGACTCGGGACCGATGCTCACCCCCAAGCAGTCGCTCGTCAAATCACCCTCAGAAAAGGGGCCCTGGGCTGAAAGGCAATAACCCCCGTGATTCTACGGGCCATTCTGCAATGGACCCCCCTCACCCGCAGGAACGGGCCAATTCCCGAAAGGCCACCCTTCCGCACGTGGGGGACGAAAGCGTGTGTTGGGGGAGATTTCAAAATTGGCTCTAGGGTTTGGCCCCGGGCAGGGACGGGCAGGGACGGGCAGCGTCCTGCCCGCGCAGCGCAGGGGTCCCTTCCCTTCCCCCACGGTCCCTCCCGCTCCTTGCAGCCATTCGAAAAAATTTCGGCCCCCCACCCCGGAAAAAAAAAAAAAAGAGGAAACCTTTTTGTTCTGTATAAAATCAAACCGTACGCCTTCAAAATCCCCCACTCGCCATTCGCCGATCGTCCCCTCTCCCCTCCCTCCCTCTCTCTCTCTCTCTCTAGGCGAGACCTTTGCTCGGGAAGCGACCGCGGCGGCCGGCCGGCGAGTTCTCCGGGAGGGCGGCGGCGGCGGCGGCGGCGAGGAGGGGGAACCCTAGGCTTCGCGGTTCTTGAGCTCCGTTGGGTTTCGGCGGGGGGCTTTTCTCTCTTGAGCACGAGGTACGGATTTCCGTCTGCGATCTGCGGTTTTACTTCGAGCAATCCCGGCTGCTTAGAGCGCGCGTGCGTGCGTGCGTGGTGATGCTTTGGGGGGGGGGGGGGTTTTCTCGGGGCCGTGATTTGGGCTAGGGTTTTAGCGTTCTTCCGGCGGCAGTGGGAGTCGGAGTCAGAGTCGGAGGAGAGCACGAATCGGTTGTTGGTTTAGGGCTTCGTCTGGAGCTCCGTTGAGCTCCGTGGAGTCGTTGGATCGTCTGCGTCCGTTGTCCTGTCGGTTTTTTTTTTTTTTTAAGCTTGGGGTTTCGGTGGTGCGTTGTGTAGGCTTCGAATGGTGAGGGCGTCTTGACCGGATTTCGAGGTTGAGTTTGTTGCTGAATGGTCTGTTTTGTTATGTTTCATCTGCAAAGGCGGAAGGGAGTCTGATCGACGGATGAGAGTAATGATGCTGTGGGAAGTAGTGACCAGAACTGCTTGAGGTCTGATGTTTGGACCTTTCGTGGTCTCAAAGTTCGGATTGTCGCCACAATGTGTTGGTTTTCAACCTGTTCTTTGGACTAGTGTGTATTTAACCGGTGAAGTGTCGTGTTTCACGTGGCGTTTGTATTAGTTCTGTCTGGGAAAACTATGTATGCCTCCCCCTGCTTTGGCTCAGTTGAACAGATAACCTGTCTCTCTCTCTCTTGCTCTCGCCTCTTCATTTCTCTGTTTTTCATTTGAGATTCAATTCAATCGGCTAATTATAGACAACTTAAGTTTCTCTGAAGGACATGTGCCTGATATCGAATCTGCATCTGAAAAAACAGAGAAAAGGAGACCTGTGAGCACATACACAATTTTCCTTAATAGGGTGTTCCGGCGTAACTTTTTGTCATGATAGGAAGGTTTTGTCTCGACTTTCTTTGTCCTCAGTTGATTTTGTTGTATTTCCGGTATCTATTGGATTTGCGGTAATTGGGGGTTGTTCCAATGTTAATCTATTCTTGCTTTTGCTCTTTATTTTAAATTATTTGCTGTGCTCTGTTGAAGACCATTGTTACCACGTTAGTTACTTTTTGACTGTGATTTTTGTAGAATGTGAACGTTATTAAGTATAGGTGAAAAGATATGCGTGTCTATTTGAACCTATAGCAAGTTCAATTTATACGCTCCTTCTGAATTGTCACTTTACTATTTAGTATCTGGTGAGATCTCACATAGCTTTGTGCCTTTAATAAAACATTTGTGGATTTCTAGGTTGGGAAGTTATGGCCATGGAAATCACTCAGATTTTGTTATCTGCTCAATCAGCCGATGCGAGAGTTAGAACTGAGGCAGAGACCAGTCTTAGACAGTTCCAAGAGCAGAACTTGCCTGTTTTTCTTCTATCATTGTCGTTTGAGCTGTCAAATAATGAGAAGCCTACTGAATCCCGTCGGTTGGCTGGTATCATTCTTAAGAACTCTTTGGATGCCAAAGATGCTACCAGGAAAAGCATTCTTGTCCAGCAATGGATGGGGATTGAGATTGCAATTAAATCTCAGATAAAAGAATTGCTCTTAAGGACCCTTGGTTCATCTGCACAAGAGGCATGGCACACTTCTGCTCAAGTAATTGCTAAAATTGCTTCTATTGAGATACCACAAAAGCAGTGGCCAGAGTTAATAGCAACATTGCTTAACAATATGACTCAGCGCGATCGGCCTTCGACACTTAAGCAGGCAACGTTAGAGACTCTTGGATTTGTATGTGAAGAGATATCTGATCAAGATCTCGTGCAAGATGAAGTAAACACTGTTCTCACTGCTGTTGTTCAAGGTATGAACCTTGCTGAGCACAGTCCTGAAGTTCGCCTTGCTGCAACAAGGGCATTGTGTAATGCTTTAGGCTTTGCTCAGTCTAACTTTGAAAATGAGATGGAACGGAACTACATAATGAAGGTGGTGTGTGAAACTGCTCTGTCCAAGGAGGTGGAGATTAGGAAGGCAGCTTTTGAATGTCTTGTTTCTATCGCCTCAACATACTATGATGTGCTTGAACCTTATATGCAGACTTTATTTGAACTCACATCAAACGCAGTGAAAGGCGATGTTGAGGAAGTTGCCCTTCAAGCTGTCGAGTTTTGGAGTTCTATTTGTGACGAAGAAATAGAGCTTCAAGAGTTTGAGAGTTCTGAAAGTGCAGACTCTGGGTCTCCTCATTCACGGTTCATTGAGAAAGCTCTGCCTGCTTTAGTTCCCATGCTGCTGGAGACTTTGCTAAAGCAGGAAGAGGATCAGGATCAGGATGATAGCATTTGGAATATATCTATGGCTGGTGGCACTTGTCTTGGTCTTGTTTCTAGAACTGTAGGAGATCCTATTGTTCCTCTTGTGATGCCTTTTGTGGAGGATAAAATAAGGAAGCCGGATTGGCATAGTCGTGAAGCTGCCACATATGCTCTTGGTTCAATCCTTGACGGGCCAACATTTGAGAAGCTATCTCCTTTGGTTCATGCAGGTTTAGATTTCCTTCTTAATCTGATGAAGGATGAGAACAATCATGTCCGCGATACAACTGCGTGGACACTCACACGCGTTTTTGAGTTGTTGCATAGTCCAGCCAATGGGTTTTCGGTACTCTCTCCTGGAAACCTTCCAAGGGTTGTTAGAGTATTATTGGATAGCATGCAGGATGTGCCCAATGTTGCAGAGAAGGTTTGTGGGGCAATTTATTACCTTGCCCAGGGGTTTGAAGATGCCGGAACAAATGCTTCACTTCTCTCACCATACCTACCAGACATCATGACGTGTCTGGTTGCAACTGCTGATCGCACGGATAGTGGTGACTCCAAGCTCAGGTCGTCTGCATATGAAACCATCAATGAGGTAGTTAGGTGCGCCAATATTGCTGAAGCATCTCAAATTATAGCGCAGCTCCTTCCTGCCATCATGAATAAGTTGGCACAGACATTTGAGCTCCAAATCGTGTCATTAGACGATAGAGAAAAGCAAAGTGATCTGCAGGCTTCTCTCTGCGGCGTTCTTCAAGTCATTATTCAGAAACTAAGTAACACCGACGGAACAAAACCCATAATACTACAGTATGCAGATCAGATTATGTTACTATTCCTTCGGGTTTTTGCCTGCCACAGCTCTACGGTGCATGAAGAAGCTATGCTTGCTATTGGTGCACTTGCTTATGCTACAGGTGCAGACTTTCTGAAATATATGCAGGAGTTCTACAAGTATTTGGAGATGGGATTGCAGAACTTTGAGGAATATCAGGTCTGTGCGGTTACTGTGGGTGTTGTTGGTGATATTTGCCGTGCCTTGGATGACAAGGTGCTTCCATTTTGTGATGGGATTATGGAGCTCCTTCTCAATGATCTCCGCAGTGATGTACTGAACCGGTCTGTTAAGCCTCCCATTTTCTCTTGCTTTGGTGATATTGCTCTTGCAATTGGAGATCGCTTTGAAAAATACGTCTGCTATGCACTGCCAATGATGCAAGGAGCTGCGGAAATTTGTGCCCAGATGGACATGGATGATGAAGAGTTGATGGAATACGGTTATCAGCTCAAGCGTAGCATTTTTGAAGCTTATTCTGGAATACTCCAGGGCTTTAAGGATTCAAAGTCTGAGGTGATGTTGCCATATGCGTCACATCTCATGCAATTCATCGAGTTGGTCTTCAAGGACAGGCAAAGGTAATTATTTGTTTATCTTCTTTTCGCTCTGTGTATGAGCTGTTATTCAGTTCAGAAGATTCAATTTAGTTATCGGTTTTACAGGGATGAGTCTGTCACGAAGGCTGCAGTAGCGGTGACAGGAGATCTCGCGGATGCCCTGGGGCCAAACATAAAGTTACTATTCAAAGACCGTGCATTCTTGAATGAACTCTTGGGTGAGTGTCTGCAATCTGATGACGAGCAGCTCAAGGAAACGGCGACTTGGACCCAGGGGATGATTGGACGCATTATGGTCTCATGATGAGGAGCACGTTGTCCATGTATGTTTGATTTCTATTCTTCACAAGTGGACAGCGTTGTCTAGTCGGTAAAATCTTCCTGTGAACTCAAAAAATTATAGTGTCCAGTGTCTTATGGTCTAGAATATTAGTCCCGAGCTCCCGATTGTTTTTGCGATGTGAGTCATCTGGGAGTGGGAAGATTTTAGGGTGCATTTGTAATGTTCATTGGCCCTTTGGGGATTTGGATATCTCTTCAGTTATTCAGCCACTAAATCAGTGGTTTGTTGAGTCATTCTCAGGTCTTTTCCATTCCATACTCATGCATCTTGTCTTATCTGCATTCCTCTTGCATATTTTCATACAGTCGTTAGGGGCATCCCTACTAAAAGCTCCTGCCTTAGCAGTATGCATGCGAGACAGTGGGATGAACCTGAAACCTTGTCGTAAAAAAGCATTTTGCAGATAAATCTCTGGAAGAACGAATATATATCGACATTCATCAGTGTGCTGCTCTAAAATTCTCAGTGGCATTTCATGAGTTAATACCCTTTGATTTTTGCTTGAAGAGCAGAAATTTTCAGGGTTTCACTGAGAAGTGATAATGTTGCGTGTCATGAGATTGGTGGTACTAGCTGGTGCTTCTCCAAAAATACAAAAAGAATAGACGTAGTAAGCTTTGAGATACTGAAAGATAAAATAGCAGGCATATTGGGAAAGCTTCACAAACTCGGTTATGCGATTCAACCTGGTCGTATGCATGCGTAGGCCTGCTATTTTCATGGGATAAAAGTTCATCCAGATCAAGTTTACTGGGGGATGTGGCCTGTTTATTTGTTGAGCATATCATATGCAGTCGGCGCAAGATTTCATTCCGGTTTGCACGCAAAAGAACTCGACTAGCGAGTGTGATTGATCTAAGCCGAGCGGAACGCAGCGGCATTTGTGACAGAGCAGGCTGACCGCCGTTGTGATGAGTGGGTCTTGACTGAGATTCACCGTCTCTAGACATTCAAAGGCTGAGAAGATCAAGAGCATACGATTCAAGAGTGGCATAATATCTAGGGCACTGGGTCCGGAGGAAATGTTCCAGCAACCTCAGTGTCATGGGCTCACACATCACTTTCCTGGCATTGAAATCCGGGTTCTGCGCTGATGAATTTCCCCATTCAATTGGGCAAAATTTATCTGGTCCGACATCGACGCTGGGCGACTGCTTTTCCACGCCGTAGGTACCAAGGAAAACATCGAGTGGCGCCAAGGGGTGCCCCCAGGGCCCAAGCTATTAATTGATAAAGTAACAAAGCCATTGTCCAGATTGGTACTTGGTGGTGGTAGTAGTCTGGACCCATGCGATGTGCCTTGTTGTCCCCGGCCCCATCAAAGCAAATCAAGAAAAGCAACCTTAGACAAAACTTGGTATCCAAAAACACTTTTCGTTAGCTAATTATTTAAAGCAATACAAAATATCATTTTTAGAAAAATTATTTTCCGAACCATTCATATTTCGCGAAACAAATACACCTTCAATACCCACAAAAAAATTTGAAATTGGTGCACTCATACCGTGGTTACCTCCAAATTCATTTTCGTGTCACAAAAAATCTCAAATTGATACTCCCGTGCTACGTTTACCCTAAATTAATTTTTGTATCACAAGAATTCCAACATAGTACATCTGTGCCGTATTAATCGTGAACTAATTTTTGTATCACAAAACGTCTTAATCGATACGTCTATTACTAATCTACCAATCTTAGGGCACGGTGGAGGCATTTTTCGAGATTTTAGTATATTTTCAAAATGTGAGAGAGCTCTCCAAGCAAAATTAGCGAATTTTATCAGATTTCCTAATCTCGGTTCATCTTCTTCAAATCTAATTTCCCCAAGACAACGCTTGTAGAAGATCCATTTATGTTGAAACTCCACGTTGGATCCACATCACACGCTGATCATTTAAGTTCTTTATTACATATGTTTCCACGTCAACAATTTAATGGGATATTAGATAAAGCCTAATGGAGGGTAGATTTTTCACGAGATTACCAATTTAATACTTTTTGTGATATTAACGCTTACAGAAACCCTATTCTTGACTTTTTTGAATTTTTGAAACTCTAGAAATTAGAGGGTGTACATGTAATATGAAGTGGTTTAAATAGTAATTTATATCATGATGCAAATTGCATGATTTTAACACTAAATTGTGCAAGTTTTCTATATGTACATATATAATGAAAGCAATTGTCAAAGGGAGTATTCTTAGAAGTTTGAATTTTTTTTTTTGTCATTTTGCTTAGTTGGCAATATTAGAGGTCTTCTTTCTCACCAAGCAATTTCTTATTTATTACTTCTCTTTTTTCGCCTCTAATTATTTCACTGTTTAATTATGATTGTTCACATATAAGAAAGGGTTTTTCACTCTAATAGTACGGTAACGTAGATGAAAGACCAAACCTTCTACTAAATTTATTAATATGCAATTAAGACCTAAAAATATTAATATAAGTTCGTGACAATTAAAAGATTTTAATTGATTATTTATATGCATAACTTCTTAGCATCTAATACATTAGATTATGTTATAGTTAATTAAATTTTCACACTTCATTTTCCTTATATCTTAAATGCGTGCAAAAGGCGGGTTTAGTCCACTAAGTTTTGAAAATAAAAAATACGAAGCTTATCTGAGACGAAAATATCTTGAAACGTGGTCATTAGATGGACACACCTATTGATGAATTAGGAAATGTTGACAATGAATACTAGAGCTGTCAAAATGGTTCATAAATCCATTTTTTAATCCATTTATGATGGACTGAGTCATTATATGAGTTAGTTATATTCAATAAATTGGTTACAAATGGGTTTAGAATGACAAAATCCCAAAAAATATAGGTGTTAAATAGGTTCACAGTTTAACCAAACTCAACTTTTGTGACTCTCTTTATCCTCTATGAGAAAATAACCGACTCCTTGGACTGTTTCAAGTTCAGAGAAGTCTTGGTGGGCCCATAAGATAGGCATGACTTCACCCTTATTAAAATAGCAAGACGGGTTCTTTTTTCCGCCATTATTTTTTTTTCATTAATCTTTAGTTTCGTCTATTAGTTATTGGATAGTTATTGGAGTATATCTTTCCATGGCTGCATTTGACATTGTTATTTGTACGTAATATTATAATCTTAGTTCTCTTCATTGTAATCCTTGGTCAGCATATTCCATATCTTACTTCCATTTAATTAAAATTTCAATTCCTCCACATTATTTGTTGTTGTGATTTTTTAAATTCACAACGAAATACTAACTTTCTCTTATTCTTCATTTTGAATCAATACAAAAATTTAAAATTCCATGCAATGTTGAAAGACAATTCTTTAGCATCTTATAGTCGAAATAGCGATTTTATTAAAATAGCATATACATATGAAAAGGTTAAAGTGAGTTAACTAGATGGATATTGATTTTCATATGTTAAATTAAATATGGAAGTATTTTAGTAATATGGATATGGTCGGGTACAGGTTGGGTACGGATTACTAAATTTGCACTGCATATGAATGGGTCAATTTGAATATGACCATTTTTTACCTGACCTAACCCGCCCATTTGATGGCCCTAATGAATATTGGCAAAATAGCGTGTATAAGGATCAAAACATGTTTTCTTAACAAGCAGTCATCAAAGTATAGCCAAAATTTGTATGCTATGATAAAGCTATTGCGTGTTTAACTCATTATTTTGTCATGGATCGCCGTCATAAAACCACAGGCCATAAAGCGACTAAAAGTTCACTTGTGAAAGAGAAAATGGCACAAATGGTCCATGAACTTAATCTAATGTGCAATATTGTATCTAGACTTTTAAATTTGTTTAATGTGATTCCTGAACTATTAGTAAATATTCAATCTAGTCCCTAGACTATATGAAAATATTTAATGTCATCCTTCCATTGATTCAAGTTAACAGAATCTGCCGATATGGCTCCCAATCCGTTAAGTTTGAATGGTAGATGACAAAAAAAAGTCACAAGTGGATTATCCATGTAAGATATTCATTTCAAATAAGTATATAATAATCCACATCATCAAATAACGATGGATATGTTAACTCCCTAATTTCTTTTTCCTTTCCTAAAGTAAATAAATTAAAAGATGGATATATCGACTCATCATTTTTAAAGATTCAACCCAATAATAATTAACATCATCAAATAATGTTTAATCTAGTCGTTTGAGTAAATGCAAGGACTACATAAATATGTATCAATAGTTTTGAGACTATATTGAACAAATTAAAAATTCAATGATCATTTTATATATTGTGCCAAAATTTAGGGATTATTCGTGCCATTTTATCATCGCGAAAAGAGGTTGTATGATGAATGTGTACGGCTCTCGTGGAAATCCGACGGAGGGTTGAATTTACTTAATATAAAAATGATTCCCAACTTTAAAATCTTTCTTTTCCCTGTTTAATAGTGGAACCAAAATTCTACGTTCAGACCACTTTTAGGAGTGTTCATTGCCAAAAGACTTTCGAGTCCACTGAACATTCCACAAAAATTAATAAAATGTCATTAACCTTAATCATTGGAGTTCTGGTATAAGAAATATAAAAACTTCTTTTTTGACTATTATCTTTGTTTTTTTTTCCCAAAAGAAGAGGCTGCTTCAAATTCATTGACTGAAGTCTGGCCCCCTAACTTCTCGGAAACTTACAAAGAAAAGGAATATTCAAAATTATACATATAGAGAGCATATAAATTTTATGATAAAACATAACGATGATATCGTGTTAGAATGATCAATCTGAGAAGTTTAAATTAATAGATAGAGGGAGACAATATATAAAGAGCATATGTATACTTATTCAAATGATACGGGGATGGTTTGATACAAGTTGTAATACAATCCAACATAGCATTTATCTAATCTGTCGTTCAAGATTCATTCGCTCACGATCACATTTTGAAAGAATTCGGAGACTCACAGTAAGCCTGAAATCTCAAAAGAAGAATCCAGAAGGCGAATTTGCATGTAAATTAGAGAACTGCAATTGGTATAAAATCTACACACCAGAAAAATTCTGGCAAGTTAATTGCATTTGTGTCTGTGCAGTGTGTTTATCCTATACTGACCAAAAATGGCAGTCCGAAAACATTTCTGTACATATAAGTTCTTAACCGATCATCTACCACCACCTAAAGAAGTGGAGGAGACGCCATGGATGGACAGCGACACATAGGACGATGTCGATGCATGAGACGTCCCGAATGTATCGGAAGAAACTGCTTCCAAGAATCTCAAGCTCCCGTCGTCGGTTCTTCGAGAGCCGGCAGAGCTCGAATCATTGAGAAAAACAGGTACCGGCTCATCCCGGTTCAGATACCGAATCACCTGTCTCATGGTAGGCCTGGCTTGGGCATGGTGCTGGGAACAAACGAGGCCTAAATTCAATACCATCTCCATCTCCTCAGCATCGTAGGCCGAGCGTAACTTGGGATCCGCAGCGTCGAGAATCCGACCCGTCTCGTAACATTCTATCACCCAATCCGTCAGAAAGAATTGGCATGAATCCGTTGGACGCCTGCCGCTGGCCACTTCGAGCAGCAGAATGCCGTAAGCATACACATCCGAGCTCGTCGAGGCCTTCCCCGAGCGGGCCAACTCCGGGGCAATGTACCCTATAGTTCCGACCAAGTTGGTGGTATGCGACATCTTGCCGTGTTCGTATAGCCTAGCGAGGCCGAAATCCCCGAGCCGCGCGTTCATTTCTGCGTCGATCAGGACGTTGCTGGACTTCACGTCCCGATGGATCACGACTTGCTCCCACTCCTCGTGGAGGTACAGTAATCCAGCCGCAATGCCCTTGATGATGTGGAACCTCTGTTCCCAATTCAACACGAAGCCGTCCTTTCGCTTGAAAATCAGCGAATCGAGGCTCCCGTAAGGCACGTAGTCGTACACGAGGAGGAGCTCATCCTTCTGCTTGCACCAACCTTGGAGATTCACGAGGTTCTTGTGCCGTAAACGGCCTAAGCTCTCGATCTCGGCCACAAACTCCCTCATTCCCTGTATTGAGTTTCGAGATACTTTCTTGACCGCGACTTCATTCCCATTAGTTGGCAAGATGCCGCGGTACACTGCGCCGAAGCCACCAATCCCGATCACCTCGCTCTGTTTGAACCCTTTTGTTGCCCGGTGAAGATCCTTGTACCTGAACCTATGAGGGCAATCTAATTCCCAGTCCTCAAGATTCTCGTGCTGCCTCCTCTTCTTGATCACGGTATAGAAGAACAGGATGCCTAGAAGACACGTAGCTATGCCGCAAAGAGAGGCAATGAGGGCTATTACCTGTGGCTTGTAAGAAGATGAATCTGTCTCGTCCGGAGGCACAGGAAGCTGAGTCAGATTGAGCGGAGTCGCGGGTCCGTTCAATTGGAAGCTCCATCCTAGAACGTAGTGAAAGCTTCTCTTGGTCCCCGTCGAAGCAGAGAACCCGACATACATGCTGTCCCGAAATATTGAAGTGAGGTCATAGGGCACCGACAAGAGAGGTTTTTCGGGTTTCACCTTATCAATCGGAGATATAGTGACGTTCACCAATTGCTTCAGACCGTCATACTCGATCCAGCCTTGAATAGCCTTGCCACTCTCCAGGGTAATCTCTTCTTTGTTGGAACCATCCGTATAATAGGCGGCCGGCTCGCTGGCAGTCGAGTTCATGCCGTTGAAGTTGACCCCAACGTGGTTCCCCTTGGAGTCCAAGGTATCCTTGTACCCATTCACGGTGTCGAACTCCACCACGAGCATGTGGTTGGACGAGTCCTCATCGTTCGAGGAATTGAAGAGGCCAAGGAAGTGCTCGGCCTCGGCCTCAGGGAAGGAAGTCTTGGGGGCGACCACAAACGCGAGGCCGAAGCCGCCCTCGCCCTCGGTCGGCGGCCTTATGGCGAACACGAAGTGGGTGCTGAAGGAGAGAGCAACGGAGCTATCGGAAGTGGAGTTCTTGACCAACATTTGAAAAGGTTGAGGATAGAAGGCTTGACCTATGTAATTACTTGAAATGTTGGTGAGCTTGAGAGCTCCACTGGGCTTGATGGTGGCTCCATTGAGGGTGATATTGGACTCAGTGGAGCCATTGAATCCATTGAAGATGAACTGATCAGACTGAGATTGAGACAGAGCAAGGACAAGAAAGCAAGAGAAATGGAGGCAAAAGGAGAGAGCACCACAATTTGCCATTCCCAAAGCAGAGAGTTTCTTCATAATCTGGGAGAAGAAACTGGAAAATACAAGAGCATCAGGAAGAGGTTCTGCAGGTTTTTGTAAGCAGACCCCTTTGAAGGATCGAGGGCCACGAAGAGGTCCAAGGTCAACAAATTCTAGCGATGGCAAAGGCAAAGGCGAGGCAAAGAGCGCGTTGAATCTGTGCTTGTGGAGATTGGTTCGTGTGGTGGCCATCGCCAAAGAGCGAAGTCAATCAATAAAGGAGGAGGACGACCCAAAATTAGGGATTACTTCGCGACTTGCCGTGCGAGGGGAACTGTTTGAATTTTCCTCTACTTCTAGAGATTCATCACATTATGTTTTTTTTTTTCTCGAAACCGTGATAATGATTGTGATTGCATCCGAGTATGCCAATCGACGACGACGAAGACCGTGGCGGGCTGTTGCGGGCATCGTGCTCTTAAGAAGAGGACCTTCTCTTAGGGACGGTGTGAATGACAGATTAGGCGCATCTAGAAATTTTCGAAGATGAAGGCATTAATCTTTTGAAACGATTGCGATATTGAACTATGTAGGATAAAAAGGCAAGGGAGGTCTTGAATTCAAATATCGGGTGGTTGAGTTTTTTCCTTGATATGTTAAAGAACTTAAGTGCAAGCACGTGAGCAACTTTCTCATCCTATTGAATGGATCTGCTTCGTTATGGACCACAACTTGGTTACGGATATTTATAGCTGTTGTATGCATATTATATTGCTTGGTTGTCAATTTGTAAAAGATGAGGTTATTTCTTCCTATCCCTTTTCATACTAAAGGAGAAAAGGGTAAGCAATTTGGGAAAAAATAAATAAATAACTCGTTGGTGATACGAAAATAGAGAAATGAATTGGATGAAAATCTGTGTTTTAGGTAATCCGGCGTAGCTATACAGATTTTTTTATATATGATTGGCTTGATTTAATATAACGAGTCTAGGCAATACTCACTGATAATTTGAAGACCTGTAAAAAAGAAAATCAATTCCAATAAGGTAAAATTAATCTAATATAGGACATTTATATCCTAATGCTAAATTAGCTACTAATTGATTAGTCTATCATGCACATCGATATCTTTCCGGTAAAATGAAGTTCTAGCTTTTCTAAGTTTCACCACTAGTGCGATTCGGTCTCCTAACTCTTCTTTTGTGTAATTTGTGAAATCGAATCATTCCATTAACCATTACCAATGAAGCTGTTGGTGGTGGCATTGCTAACATGACGCGAAAGGGACATTGTTGTAATGTGACGCATACAAATGCCATAGCACCAAACACAAGGACAAGATAATAAAAGGAAAAAGTGACCATGGAAGAGAAAGGGGGCCAAGAGGCTGCCGCTACCATGCCCCACCTACAGCGAGCGTCCAGTAATGCCGAGTCAGGATTCAATAGAACTGCCAAAACGAATAAGAGAATCCAATCGCACAAACAATAAAATCCAATCGACCGATACTGTATTTAGTTTAAAAAAGCCACTTAGTTCTTATAACATAATCAACACAATGAACAGGCCAATGATAAAAACCAATCCCGCAAAAATTCATTTTCCATGTAATTATGTTTTTCGCACTCGAAATAAATGGGGGCTTACATAATAAAGTATTTTCCTATTAGGGAAAGAAAGTCTTTTCCCTATTGTATGAACACGAATAAGAAGATATCGAGTAGGTATATACATCCTATGTTTGAAGAAGGATGGTTCATACCTTATTATAGTACTCTTATCACTAATTACTAAATAACTTGAATGCGACTAAACCTTGATCAATCATTTAATCAGAGAATTGCCAGTTGGGGAGATAACATATCTTTTGACTAACCTCCAAATAATTGGTGAGGCCCCCACATTTATTTTTGTGTGTGTATATATATATTGTTATTTTTTTAATTGTTTTTTTTTCAAGACGAGCCATTTGACCACTTGGAATGATTTATGAGAGGAGAGTTGCCAGCGTCCCACTGACCAGCAGACTGACTTCGACCGGTGAAGAAGATCATTAGCGCGTCCCTTGACTCCCTTCCCACTTGCGGCTGAAGCAGCGCTAACCATGTAAAATTACGCAATTGCAAAAATTATCGTCAATCATTTTCTTTGTATCAATGATCTGGGTCGAATTTCGAAATTCCCATTTTGCATCTCCCCAACTTAGAAAACCCACTTGCACTCATTCACACTAAAGAAATGTACACCCAAATCCCTCTCTAATTCTGTTTTTTTCCCTGTCCTTTCTCTCTTTTCACACACAGCAGCACGGTATTGCAACGATTGAAAAGCAACTCGACTACATAGCTTGATATTGGCAGCGATGACGACGACGACGACACCCTTGCCCCTGTCTACGACTCACTCCCCTCTCCCCACATTTCTATCTCTATTTGTGGCGATTGCAACTCGGGATGACGAGGTTACGCAAGCTCAGCCTGAGCTCGCGACTCACCGAGGCTGTGTGAGTTCGGCCTTGTGCTCGTGAGTTGCGCAAAAGCTCTGTAGTAGATCGAGGTCGTCCTACCTCGATCTGGCCTTGAGCTGGCGTGACAACCTTAGCTGATCGTAGATTTGAGGTCTGCAACGACCTTTGAAGGAGGAGCAAAAGAGTGCGAGGTGGGGAGGGGGAGATGTGGTGATAAATGTGTCGGGAAAAGTCATAAACTTTTTACATTGGTACTAATTTAATCATAAACCTTTTGAACTAGTGTCAATTCAGTCCTTCTGGCTAATTTTGACCGGATTTTGCTGACGTGGACGCCGGTCGGCCTACATAGCACCGCCGGTGCTGACGTGGACAACTTTTAATAATATTTTCATATTTTTTCGATTTTTTTTTAATTTTTTTTTCTTCCTCCCTTTGCCGGTGATCGGCCACTGGCCATAAGCGATGGCTGGGTGGGTTGCCCCTCGCTTGGGCGAGGGTCACCGTCGCCCGACCAGGCCAGGAGAGGGCCGGCCTCGCCAAGTTTGGCGAGGGGAGCCCACGCGGGGGCTTGCCCAAGCTGCTCTGGCCTAGGCGAGGGCAAGCTGTGGCGAGGGCTTGAGCCTTGCGCTGGGCTGGGCGATGCTTGCCCCCGCCGGATATGTTGAGGGTCCAGCCTCGTCGGCCATGAGTGAGGCTCGAGCCCTCGCCTGGGCTGGGCAAAGCTCGCCCTCGCCGGTCGTGGGTGAGGCTCACCTTTGCCGTCGTCGGCGAGGCCCTCGCCAGTGGCCGGCAGGGCTTGCCAGAGGCCTCCTGGCCTCCAGTCGATCGCCGGTCCGGTGACTGGCTGGAGGAAGAAGAAAGGAAAAATAAAGTAAAAAATAAAAAAATTCGGAAAGTATTAAAATATTATTTAAAGTTGTTCACATCATCGCCGGCGGTGCCACGTAGGCCGGTCGGCGTCCACGTCAGCAATATCTGGCCAAAATTAGCCGGAAGGACTGAATTGGCATAAAGACAAAAGGTTTAAGACTGAATTGACACAAAAAAATTGTTTAAGACTAAATTGGCACCAATGTAAAATGTTTAGAACTTTTCTGACACTTTGAGCAAGTTTCTCATATGGGGGAGAGAGTGTAGATGGGTGTTGGGTTTTTTGGGTTGAGGGTAGTCTGAATTAATTTGGTAGGCAATTTAAAATTAATCTTAAAAAATGAGGACGATAATTGTAGGTTTGAAATTTGAGGAAGGTAGTAAAGTTGAAGATGGTTTTTGTAAATTTTTTTTATAATAAATTTATAAGCCTTGTGATTTTGCTTGCAGAAAATGAAAATGATTTACATATGATTGAGACCTACCTCACTCTTTATTGGAATACTCGTTTAAGATGACAACAAAGCACTAACTTTCACCAAGTGAACCGGTCAGTGAGAGCTCCACCACATGCGAGTGCCCTGATAACATTTGTTAAGTAACATAAATAAAAAATTTCAAGTTTGTTGTTATACAATTTTTTCTATATCATATGTAGTCAATGACATGGAAATAGAAAAAAATTTAAATTGAATATATTTAATAAGTATCTTATGCACACCAATCAAGGAAGACTCTATGCAAAAGTTACTCCTCATTAACATGCAAGCTTTACACACAAGTCGTACTACTTTTCATGGGGACTTCGAAAAGGGATAGGAGTACACTATTAGACATGATGTCTCTTTGAATAAATTCGAACCCACATTCCGTAGCTTCAAGTAAAGGGTACTCTTGAAAGTACTAGATTTTTCTATAGCATGACATGACCACGTTAGCACCGTGACTTAAACATTTTGCAGGTGAATTCCCTATTCCTATAATTATAGTAGAGTCTTTGCGATGCCGTAGGGGTGTGCACTAGATCCAGTTCTATCTAGAAACCAAATTGTATTGAACTAGATTGACCGGTTTAATGTTGGTTTTAGGGAGAATTAGTCCGGATCCTGATTAGAAAGCCAAAAACCGATCTACTAGGAACCAATTCAAACCGGTTCAACCAGTCCAGTTCCCGATTCTGAAGACTCTTCTAGAAGGATAAAAAATGCTTTTACTCTCATCAAAAATAGAATCTTGAATCTCAAGTGGAAGAATTAACAACATAACAACTTGACCAACATATGTTTTGTAGTAAAATTGTGTAATTTTTATATTTTCTACTTGGGATTTGACCTCATGTAAATGGGCCAAAATAGTTAATGTTTTTCTAGTCATGTAATTTTAAAACTGTCTCAAATAAGAATTTTCTTTGCTAAAAGATCAATAAAAACGATCACAAGTAGTGGATTTCATTCATTAATGTCACTTTTCCAAAAAAAAAAAAGAAATAAAAAAACTTAAACAACGTTTATCGTGCATTAGTCATATCTTTGTGACTGAAAATCGTCACATTGTTGCTTGAATACATCATAACGATTATTTATTTCTCATTAGTACTATTAATAGTATCTGTCAGCTTAAAATAGACATGGATTTTCATGAAAACCATTTTGTCAAATTTTAAGGTTTAAAAGTTGTTTAGGATTTGCTTTAGAAAAATTATTACTATAGAGTTAAAAAAAACTTCCTGCAAGACCAATTATAAAATAATTATTAGAATTGCACAAACTAAGATGGAGGGTGATATATGTGAAGTTCTTTTAGATGGTTTGTAACTAGATGAATATGATTTATTTGAAGATTGGGCCTTTACCTGAACTTGGGCCTCTCAAAACACCACAAGATGGTAGGGTCGATACAAAGGGGCCGAAGAGTTTATCGGGGTCAAAAATAGCATTATGCATTTTGTACTTTCGAACCAACCGTGTGACGCAAAACTGCGATACATTCATTTGTGCAACAGAAGTTGTTTTACGAAAAATAAATAATTTATCAAATATGTTCTTAAAAATGATCATTTATATCGATTTCGGAAATAGATGAACGAAAATTATTTGGGATAAGAACAATATGAGTGTCATAACTTTCATACGGCGCTCACTTGAACGCTATAACTTTTTTTTTGCTCACTTAAATATCACAAATTTAAAAAATCGATCACTTAAGTGCCATCGATATTTGCCTTGCTGAAAAATCTGATGTGGATGCCAGCTGTCCTACATGGCCTTGGTGCCGACGTGGACAACTTTTGATAATTTTTTTTGCTTACTTAAGGGCCACAAATATGAAATATCAATTACTTAAGTGCCACAAATTTGGAAAAATCAAACTCTTAAGTGCCATTGACAATTTGCCTTGTTGGAAAATCCATTGCTAGCCTCGCACATATCTGGCAAGGGCCTTTGAGCCCTCATCATTGGTTGGCGAGGCCGCCACGGCCCTAGGCGAGGTCATCACGGCCTCACTGCGAAGGCCCTCACTTGCAGACGGCGATGGCCTCACCTAGGGCCTTCGTAGCTCCGCTAACCGAGGGTGAGGCCTTTGCGGCCAATGCACAGAAAAAAAATAAAGAATTCAAAAAATAATTAAAAATAAATTACAAAATTACAAAAAAAATCCATGTAGGATGATTTGCTGGTAGTGGCATTCAAATTATCGATTTTACTTCATTGTGGCACTTAAGTGAGCGAAAAAAAGTTGTGACACTTAAATGAGCACCGTACGAAAGTTATGACACTCTTACTGTTCTCACCCCAAATTATTTCAAGGTCTACGAAGATGTTTAAATATAAATTGTTGTTGATGATAAAAATATTTTTCATTGGCTAATTATTTCAGAGAATACAAGCGATCATTTTAGGGAAAATATTTATTTAAATCATTCATTTTACGCGAAACAAACAAAAACCTAAGGAGAACATCAAGAGAGCCCAGAGTTTCAGACCTTTAGAATATCTACTTGGAGCCATGTTCACTCAAAACTTTAAATTGATAGGTTGACTGCTCTAAATCGTATTAATTTTTTATGTGAGGCTTCGTCTAACATCCCGCGAATGTATATATTATGTATATTTTTATTATAAACGAATATGGTGTATGAGTTAAGAACAAGTGTCCACCAAGAAACACAAAGTAGTGTAGGCAGAAGCATGCAAATTCCCCATTTCATGGCGCCTACCAACGAAGAAAGAAGCCAAAAGAGTCCTCAACCCTCAAAATTATGGGAATAGGTCTTTGTCATGGTTTCTCTTACATGGCAGGATGATCATATCGAAAAGATCAAAAAAGCCCAGTCAACTTTCAACTTTCTCAATTAATTACCACACTTTGCTCTAAAAATTCCATATTTATCTTCCAACATAATTCATCATTTTTATATTGGAGTAGACATGTGGACCATCTACACCAAGATTCTTGTGCATGGCTTACAAACGAAGCAAGAAGTCAAAAGAGTCCTCAAGTCATTAGTAACTTGTGGTGATGAGGCGTTGACTGTTTTCTTCGATTGCATTCTTGGAAAATCTTCTATCAACTGAGGACAACTGAGGTATACATGTACCATAGTTCCAAATTGTAGTTCCAAAATTTATATTATAATCACTACCTTACATTAATCCTATGAATTGAAATCTTGTCCAAACACCAAAGACTATAATTGAATTGGGTAATACCATTTTTCTTTAATCATATGAATTTCTGACGTGATTCATATTTTTCGTATTGCATATTGCGTATGTATAAAATTTATCATTTGGACTAGGGAATTCGTTAGCTTCCTAACTGCTTGACCTCAACTGAACCTATCACGTATACAAGAAGAACATTTACCTTCTAATCCCAAAAATTTGAATACAAATCCTCCAATAATTAGTCCATGAAAAACTACCAAAAAATCAACCAAAATCATTTGACCGAACATATTTGATATTCTTTTCTCTATACTAAGTTTTTTCGCAAATGAGACATTCTAAGAAGAACTTCTCTTTTGGTTAACCCTAACTGCCAGGGACAATGAATGGGCAAGCTTGCGGTCAAAGACGACGGCAGAATTCCATTATCTTGAGCCCCAAAACTAATTCTTTTCCGTTCTGGTAAAATTTCATTAAGTGTTGGCGAGTATAAAAAACTATTGATAGATAAAATGATGTATAACTTATTTTTCCAAGTAAGATGCGAGTTTGACCCAAATAAAATGTAAGTTGCGAGTAACTTATTAAGATTTTTATGAAATTACCAAGTTTTTTTTAATAATTTGCAAATTACAATTGTTTCTATCAACTTACGAATATTTACTAAGTTTTACATAAATATACCAACCTAATTATCCAAAAAGTCCTAAACCTATTATACGGCAGTCTATTCAATTCTAAACATTTCAATTTAGTCTATATAATCCTAAATCTTTTGACAATTTATCAATTTAGTTCTTCAAGCCAATTTTGGTAAGAAATAGATAACGTGGACGCTAACCGCTTTAAGTGGTATGGCCGGCGCTAACATAGAAAGCTTTTGCATTTTTTTAAAAAAAATTCTGAATTTTTATAATTCTTTTTATTATCTTCTTTTTTATGTTTTCTTTTTTCTTTCTTTGCTTTTTTTTTTTATTGTTCTTCTTTCTCGATGGGCTGGCGGGGCCTCGTCAATGGCTGGCGACCCTCGCCCAGTGGCGAAGGCCGTCGTAGCGCTCACCTAGTGGCCAATGAGAGCATCGTCTAGGCCCTAGCGAGCCTTGCGAGTCGTTTGGGGAAAAAGAACGGTAAAAATAAACATAAAAGAAAGAAAAAAAAAATTGTACACGCCAGTGCTAATCGTACCATGTAAGACAGCCAGCTTCCACATCATCAATTTCTGGCCAATTTTAGTCGGAATGACTAAATTGGCAAATTATCAAAAGGTTTAGGATTAAATTTGCCAAATTATAAGGTTTATGACTACATTGGTCGCTGTACAATAGGTTTTTGATTTTTTAGATAAATATCCCAACTCTTATATGTATACCATACTCGTGGTCAAAATTAAATGCCTATAACTAACTCAAATAAGAGTTAGTAACGCAAAACAAGTTGGTAATTTAATCGGAGAAAAGTTGGTAACCACTCCAATTAAGGTTGAACAATTATAAAACAAGTTAGTAAATTAACAGAGTATTAAGTAAGTCAAATAAAAGTTGGTAACTCAATAGTGAAGTTGGTAATTTTATGATAAACCAAATAATTGTTGGTAAACAACTCGAATGTAAGTTTTTAAATCAAAACTAGCTGGTAATTTATCCGGAGAAATGATGGTAAGTCACACAAGCAAAGGTTGGTAAATTCATACACGAGTTTATGACCTTAATGCGTTTTGTAAGAAAATAAATAAAAGTCGGTAATAGATAACAAAGGTTGATAAATTAAAAAAAAAATCAAATAAAAGTTAGTAATTAGTTCAAATGAAAATCGGTAATCCAAAACTTATTGACAATTTAATCGGAAAAAAAAAGTTGGCATGTCACTAAACAAAGATTAATTTTTTTACATGAGAGTTGGTAAGTATAATGGTTAAAGATATGAAAATACCGATAGTTGGCCAACTGTCGGACAAAGTTGGTAACTTCATGAAAATATGAGTAAGTTATCACAACAAAGTTTTCGGGAAATCAAGTCACCGGTAATACTTCTAATCAACGGTGTTTCAAGACCTATAAACTCTTTTAGAAATCTACTAGCACGGTAAACGAAAACTCATCTTTTTAAACGAAACGGTAAAAGCGTCCACGACCGAATTGCGACTTCGCGTTTCGGACCCGAATGGCGTCCCGTGTGCTTGGCGGTATTGGTGTCACGGTACCGAACCCGGCTAGACTAATCAAAGACAAGATTGGTTTCGAATTTTTTTAAAAAAGTTGCACCTAGAGTCTATTCATTGTTGAATTACCCCACACATAACTTACTTCGACAACACGGACCATAAATATTCCCTAACGGTGTTGACCGTAGCTGTCTTTCCTCTCATTTTCTCACTCATTTTCAGGACAAAGAGCTGTTTCATAGGACTCGTATTCCTTCCGGGTCTTCAATGCTAGCGACACTGAAAACAACAGACTAGTTATAATACTAATATGGAACCAATTTGATCGTTCGTGAAAACTACATCGTCCGCACCCACGCAACCTCGCGGAATCTGCCAAGCGAAGCAGGAAGATTTGAACGAGGAATTTTGTTGGAACCAAACTCCTGATGGAGAAATGCATAAAAAAGACTGAGGATGATTTGATTGGTTTCATTTTTATATGATGTCCTTTTCTCTGCATTTGTTTAACCATAGATCTTAATATAAATAGTCCCTCATCTTTATCAACTAATCAAACCACATCCAGATATCCATCTCTACACCTGAAACAAGGTGAAAGACCTTCCTGAAAGATGATGATGCAATCGGAGTTTCCTCCAGTTTCATGGCCATTTCATGATCCCAACAATTCAACGATCATCCCACCTGGAAACTATAACTCGAATCTTGATTTCCATGCCAGTGATTATGGTATGATCCCTTCGCCAATGAGCTATATGACTGGCGATTCGATCGTCCAATACGGCGTGAGTACTGCTTTCGACACATCATTGGGAGTTGGGTGTGAACTTGAGGATTTCGCCATGGATTTCGAAGGATTGGAGGCCTTCTTGAACGGTGATGAACCTGAGAAGACTTGTGATTACTCGGAGATGAGCGACGGGAGTTTCGCTTCGCAACAAACGACAACCGAGGCATGGAGCCCGAGCTCTATGTCGAAGTCGGAAGTGTCAAATTCTGCGGGCGTGTCTGTGGCAGGGTGCTTGCCCTGGACCTTGCCTGCCGAAGAAATGGAGATTGACAACTTGCTCGGCCTCCATCACCTGCTCAAGGCCTATGGCCAGGCTGGGGATGATGAGCATAAGGAGCTCATGGAGGTCATCTCGAGGCGCATCGCCGAGAAATCGAGCCCTTTGGGTGAGGTGCTGGAGCGGCTCGCCTTCTATCTGTGCCAAACTCCAGAGGACCCGAGCGGTTACTTGAGACGCGAGTCGTGCAAGAACTTAGAGGCAGCTTTCCTCGCATTTTACCAGGCGTTTCCCTACGGGAGGTTCGCTCACTTCGTGGCAAACTCAGCCCTACTCGAGGCGATGCCCGATGAGGCAGAGACAATCCATGTCGTTGATTTCGATATGGGAGAAGGTATTCAATGGCCACCGGTAATCGAGGCCGTTGCGCGGAGGAACAAAACGTTGAAGCTCACATCATTGACTTGCGAAGAAGAGTGCGGTCAAGATGCTCAATTGAACTGGAATTTCGACGATACGAAGAGGCGACTTCACGATCACGCTCGATCATTCGGCGTGAAATTGGAGGTTGATAGCAAGAACATTGCAAATCTAGTGAATGAGCTGAGGAAGAGGAATGAAGGAGACTCTAACAAAGAGTGGATGGTCTTCAATGGTATGGTCGGATTACCTCACATGGGAAGGACTGCTGCAACTAGAAGAGTGAATGATTTCTTTAGAGTGGCCAAGGAACTTTTGGCCGATCGTGCTGATCGGTTAGGTCGTCCCGCAGGGATTATAACTTTCGGTGATGGAAACGGATTCGAGAAGCTTGAGAACTGCTCGACCTTTGGGGATTTTTTAGACCATTGCTTGAGGCAATATCATTCAATCTTAGAGTCAATGCAGTCCGATTTTCCTCCTCAGCTTTCGGAGTCACGAATTGCCATGGAGACTCTCTTCGTTGCGCCATTCATCTCGTCTCTTTCGTGGCTCCACAAATGGGGCGAGACAAGAAACGGGAGAAACACGCCGGTCACGCAAGGCCTAGACCGGTTGCGAGTAGGCAGAGAGACTGTTGTGGAAGCCCAGGAAATGCTGAAAGGGAAGACATCTTATGAGGTGAAGCTTGGAGAACAAGAGAATGAGATAGTCCTGGGATGGAAAGGACAAGAATTGGTCAGATTTTCTGCCTGGGAATATAGACCCAAAAGATGGCAGACAAATTTTCTTTCTAAAACATGTTCATAGAAGCAAATTGCAGCAATATGTTGATAGACAAAAGAAAATTAAATTAATTCGGTAGTTACGGAATTCGTTGTAAAGATCGCCCGGCCGGATAATCGAATGGTTTCGACATTTTTTTATACCAGTACTTTGTCTGTCTTTGAATTGTAATCTCAATGATTAATTAGTCTGAGCATGTACTGGAGATTAAAATAGACAAATAACTGGTATGAGAATGAGCAAAGAAGATGCTGAAGAGACATGTTCATCTGAAACGAGATGACCAATTCCAAGAACAAGCCAGTAAGTATCAACCAAGTATAGTCTTCATCTCAAAACAATACGTGCTTGCGAAATACGTTATATCATTTCCTCGTTCATGCTATAAATCGTCACATCATGTTATCTATGTCTGTATAAATACATTATTACAGAGTTCTGACAAAAATAGTCTCTAATATTCAATATCAGCTTCAAAGAAGAGAAAGAGATTTATATTTCTGCTTTTTTGCTTAGGTGGCAGGACATGAGCGGTCGATGTAAATCTATTTTTTTATATTTGGACAAGTAGTAAATAGCTTTTGTATTATAAGATGATTTTCACTATTCAAGCTCTAGAGGTGGATTTAAAAGAACAGCAAAAAAAGAAAAAAAATTCACTCACCCAGCTGACTTTAGAAGCATCATATGCTATAAGATGCAAATCAATTGTATCTACATCACCATTCTATTGCACGAGAAATGAGCTATAATCACTCCATAGAGAGATAAATAAACATTAATACCATCTTTTTATAATTCCTTTTTTTTTTCTGGATTTTGGTAATTTAATACCATCTTTGTTATTGGAGCCCAGGAGTGACGTTTCGTGCTGCGCTTGCATAGCAAACCCGACTGGACCTAATCTCCTCCCTGGAGGAATCGATGGTTGCCGGAAGCGACCTGCACGCCGCCGGTACGCGATTGCCTTTGTAGGCTTTGCATACATAGCTCACGAAATTTGGGAAATCCTGAGACAGAGAGAGAGAAAAATAACCTTAGTCCCATGGAGAAAGTGACCATGGTGACGATAATGAATGGCGACGGAATTACAATTTAACTCATCAGTCATTGCATTGATTGAGCGTCTTGCGCGCATATGTTTGCATGCGTAATCAGACGGAGATGTGTTAACTAACCTCCTGGAGCGGTTGATTGTTAATGAGCACCCACGGGACAAATCTATGTGGCGGATTGAGGCGAGCGGTTTCGTCGGCGTTCCTCCGCTCGAGCTGCATTGGAAAGAAATTTTTTTCGAAATCTTCTTTTTTTTAATTTCAGATTGCAATGTCAAAGATGTAGGAGGAATAAAAAAAAACGTAATAATTGTTGCATGAATTATATAATTAGAACAAGCAAAATCACCTTAATTCCATCGCCTCTATTGTAACAATCGACCGGAGCATTGCTGAGGCCCGCCGCGCCCAAGCAGTTGGACCACTCGCTGTGCCTGCCCTGCAGGGTCAATTGCTCCACGCAATTGATGAATCTGAAATGCCGGTTCTACAAAGCATGTGAAAGTCAATTTGTCATATGATGTGTGCGCCATACTATTCTTAAGATTTCAACACAATCATATCGCAATGAAGATTTTGATTCTATTCGATTCGAAATCTAAGTCACATCCATAAATTTGGCATGCAAATCGACGGGCCATTGAGTCAAGCAGCAACATTGACTCGTCACTAAATCCACCAATTCTATTGAGCCGGGATATACTAAATCTTACTCATTAAATAAAGCAATTCCTAACCTTTTTAATGATGTGTATGATCTAACTATAGTTTCGTAATATCTAGTGTGAAATACTATATGTAATATAGTCCAATGAGAGATAAATAGATATGTAAACTTTACGTTTTGTGTCTTAACATGATAATTATTTTTTTAACATATATATTGGGTAACAGTATCTTAAGCATAACATGTATTTCAACTCAACTATCCATTGGTCGAGAAACTATTATAAATCATGCAATACAATTCTTTTTTTTTTTTTTACTTCTCTACTTCCAAATCTTACTGCTTGACAATTTGGAGACTCCAGTTCTAGATTCATATCTCAATTTGATAGAAGTATCTAAGAAGCTGATATTACTTTTATGAGCATGGTTGGTTATATTCTATTTATATCTACATATTAATTAATAAATAATGGTGCATATGCCAGTGTATTAATGAAGTCTTATATCTCAGAACATATGCATAAGTCTTGCTTTGGAGGAAAAAAAGGGTTTTTACCACGTCCGGATAGATGGTGATGGCACAAGCTTCAATAGCATTTAGTTGGCATTCATCTGGTCCATGCTGCAAAATTTGCACAAAATTCAGATGGAGAAAAAAACACGAAGTGAAAAAATTACATAAGAAAAAGAAAATGATGTTATGTTCATTTTATTTTAACATGCTAGATTCAAAATTGAAGTGTCATATAGCCCATTTTATACATTTTAAATCATAGATTTTATCATACCATAATAGACTTTTTAGATTGCTCTTGTAAGAATTAATGAAGAATCTCATGAATGTCGCTCATTCAATAAAGTGAAGTATAATGTACCAAAAAGAAATGAGTCAAAAACAAGTTTGATTAACAAGACTGACGTGGAAAGGCACAACATTTAAAGAAATTTATATGTGTAGGGTCCATTCTATATCATATATAAAGCCAACATTCGAATCTAGTGTCCATCTTTCAGCTGACCAAAATAGCCATGTTCTTAATAAACACATTCCACAATTTGCCTTTACGGTGAATGTTCGAGCGAATCGAGAGAGTATTTATAGCGGGATAAAAATGTCATTTTTTTCGTCTCCACTACATTTTCATGGCAAAATATTTTTACGAGGCAACTTTAATTTAAATTTTTTTTCTCTAGCACAAGTGTGGCATGTGGTGCACTCCTTCTAGTGTGTATTAAATTAAATGTGCAGCATTAAAAATGAGTAGTTCATATAATTACTAATTTTCACTAAACAATTTCTCTTTTTTTTCATTACCACCCAAGATTGGAAGGAATCCTCCATGTGCATTGTGCCACCAGAGCGTGGGGGCAGGACCTGTCGCACCATTTATTGCTCTCGTCCCACCATACCAACTTTATTCAATTTTTTTTTATGCAAGGTCACCAAAAAAAGAGAGAAAAATATATTAGAATAAAGTTGACTTTATGCAAAATTAGGGACAGACCCAAGTTCATATTGTGAAATGAAATGTGAAATTTATGGAGCCACCGTCCGTTGTTGCTAAGTTTTGAAGTATTCATGTCCTCAAAGGTACAAATTATTCAAAAAAAAGTATTTAAATAAAAAAAATTCGCAACACCAGCCTTGGTTTTTCGGCCAGCCATTGCTTGTGACTCAATGTCAAATGTTTGAAACTGAATCTATTAACTTGTAACAAGTTGCTGGGTAGCCACCTCAAGTGTTAAGCAAACCAATATAAAGAGCATATTGTGCCGAGTACTTTGAGCATAGAAAATGAAAACAGGCCCATTTTCGAGTTCTACAAACACCCGATTATTTACTAAAAGATAAATATTAGTATTCATTGTGTGTTTGAGTATACTTTTAAATCCGCGTTCGTCAATATATTAAGAAAAATTACCCACTTAACCAAACTGTGTCTTAATTTTTTTGTGTTTAATACGTAACTAATGGATGGATAGCATCTAGTAATTACACGTATATGCAGCTTTTTAAAGATAAATCAAAGAATATTATTACCAAGAAAACAACAGAAGAGAGAAAATGTTGAAGGGAGGCGGGAGTGGATGAAGCAAAAGAGGGAGGGGAAGTAGCAGTAACCTGGCAAGACAGGGAGCCGTCGGGCAAGATCCAGCCGTTGCCCCAAGGGACGAGCTTGAGGTCGACGATGGAGATGAGCCCCGCGTCGAACACCTTCGACAGCGTGTTGACGATGAAGTTGGCGCAGTAGGGGCAGAGGGCCTCGTAGTAGAGGCTGAGCGCCACCCTCTGATCCGACTGCGACGGAGACACGAGCAGCAGCAGCAGCAGCACGAGCACGAGGCTCGTCGGGGCGAGGCGAGAGCGGCGAGAGAAACTGCCATCACCCATCTCTCTCTCTCTCTCTATCTCTCTGGTGTGCTCTTCTTCAAGTTCGAGTGCATTGATAAAGTATTAATTATAAGGGTCGAATCTGTTGGTTTTTCTGGGTTTTTTACTCGTCTCTTTTTTATTTTCTGGTTCAAAGATTCTTCTGATCTTTTCAAGATAAAAAAGGATTTGATGGGGCTGACATCCGAGTCACCCACCACTTCGGGATTCGTTTTAAAGGGTCAATGAAGCGCCGGCTGCCCGTTTAGGCGAGCCCGTCGGCGCACCCGGTGCGAGCAGGAAAACCCAAGACCAGAAACGCGCCTGAGTACGGGTTCATCCTCGGCGGACTAATCAAGATTTTCTGAGATAAAGAATAGATTAGAGAATCGGACGTGTGATCCTCGATTTATAAACTAAGTCTTTAAACTCTCGACTAGTAGTAGTCAGTCACCTTGTTGGTAAAGCCTAACTGGACTTAAGAGGAGGAGGAGGAAAAAGAGGTCTCTGTGAAAAGAAACTATCGCCCTCAAGTCAAATCACAAATCCATGTGTCAGTGCGATCTACTTTATAATCCTTTACTCTGGAACTGGATTCGCTCCAGCATCTTGTATCCATTTTCTCATCTAGTCAGAAATCAATACATCAGTTTGTTTATTAAGTGACTCTGCAAGATCATATTCAGGAGTATATCTTATAGTGCACGACTCTTATCAAGCCACTTCATACACCAGTTTTAGTAAGAGTTCTTAATATCAACGACGCTCCTTCTCAAATATAATATTTTCTGAAATTCATATAATAACAGATTTTCATTGTCAAATTTGGTATAACCATGTGTGAAATCGTATCTCGACGAATATTCGCCACATACCTTGATGAGTTTTCTCATATTTTGAAGGATCACTACACTCGATCCACTTAATTATAACTATCGAAATACTCGGCTGCTTACATTAAAAAAAAAACAGAAACACATGAAACTTTACTATAAAAGTAACCAAACTACAAGTTACGTATCACATCATTGAGTTAATTATATAGTGAAATGATTGGACAATCTTACTTTCCAAGTTATTGGTCTACTTTTTAGATATGGTTGGAGACATATCATGAGCATAAACTTGGCTCCAGTGAGTATATAACGGGGACAACAGAAAACACGAACAATCTTTTCAATCACGGTCATCTTCTATCGTCAAGATCGATTAAGAAATTACGATGTTACTCTTTGGAGACTTTTCTTTGCTTACATACCATTTTAGGCCTCAGTTTGGTTAGACACGGAGTTGGGTTCCTCTAGGAATAGGATTTATGGAGATAAATCCGAGAACGGTGTAAGATTTCACATATAATAGAATTTCTTAAAAAATGTGAAATCGGATTACCTAACTATAGCTAGGATTGAGATTCCATTCCACATTTTCTAACCACGAAACTATCAAAAACCCAATTGCACCACCAGCTGCCGCCACTGCCCTTGGCACCGCCATCAGTCTCCAGCCTTCAGCCTTCGCCACCAGCATTGACAGACTCTGCTGTAAGTAATTGGCTGTCGAACTTGTTGCCAGCAGTCAAACTCCATCATTGGTTGTTTGTCAACGGTCATTGGCCGTTAGTCACCGAACTTCTCTATCAGCCACCGGTTGTTGTTTAACGTCGCCGATAAGAAGCACATTTCTCATGGAAGATCAAAATATTTTGCAATCCAAACAATTGAAAAGAATAATCTAATTTGTGGAATGAGGATTTCTTGTTGTGAAACCAAAGGTGGCATTATTGTCCAAATCTCGAAATACTGATACAAAGCCCCAAAGGTAAGAAAAGCAGGCGAAAATGGTGGACCTAAAGTTGAGTTGCCAGATAAGGTTGGGCAATGTGCAAAAGGATCTGTAATGGGACCCAATCTTTATCTGAAATGCAAAACCCATCTTGGGGAGGAACTACTGCAGATGATGAAAAGGAGACAAAAGTAAAAGTTCAATCAGCATTTCCACAGCTTTAATGCTTTTGCCACATATTCTTTGATCATTTAGCGATTATCCGATTCATGGTACAGTACATGTAGCAGCATCTATTGCGAGAAGCTTCACAGCATCCAAATTATCGTGCCTCAAGTAACGGAGATGATTGGCACCTTATCCATCTGCCTCCCTTCTCATCGAAACCATCCACCGCCTCCGCCAACAGTTGATGCAAATTCTCCGCGCACGCCTCCACCACTTATTCTCCATCATGACACTGTAGATGTCGAAGAAATCTTACGCCTTGCCCGCCTTTAGCGTTTTCATGAACTCTGGCTCCACCTTCGTTGCGCCTTGCATCTCTCTTTCTGCGGACTCGTGAACAACAACCAGATTTGGCACATTATCTTTGTGGAGGAGATTCTGCAATGTCCTAGAAATCGACTTTTGGTCATTGCGACGGTTGATTGCCTTTTTGGTCTTCCATGGGGGGGAGGCTCAATCAATTGAACCGCAATGCTGGCATGGTTAGGGTCGTGATCACCGGTGGTAGTTGTTTGATGATTGTCCTTGACGATGGTCGTTGTGAGCGGTGGTGCAAGCAGAGGCAAGCGAGACAGAGAGACTACCTTGGGAGATAGAATACCCTTATCCCAAAAAGTGGGCTAAAGGATCAATCGCACATAAGCTAACCCCTTACTCACGCATGACTTCGCTTAATTATTATGAAATGGATGCGACTCCTTTTTTGAGTGACCCAATTCTTGTGAACCAGCCACGAGCAATGATTTCGAGAGAAAAGTGTCAAGATTCGAACTCTTGACCAGAGCTCCGATATCATTGAGAAGTATCCAACCTAAAAGTTAAGCTATTAGGTAGTATGGAACAAAATGTACGATCTAAAAGCTAAGCCAACAGGTGAAATGAACTACATGAATATAAGATAAATTATAACCAAGTATTCAGTCGACATGGTATTGTACTTTACAAAAGGAATCCAACCTATCTTACTTGAACAACTGATAAGATTGGAGGCATGTCTAAATGTTTTCTTGAGCTAAGCTTATAAATTTCTCACACGTCTTTTTCTCTATTCACTGTTCACAAACAATGAGTACACCAAACATAAGTCGTTCGGTATAAACGTCTATTAGTATGGCCTTCGCTTGTTGAAGTCTCCGATGTATCCCCTTTCCGATCACTTTCATTATACTTTGCTTCCTTTCCCTTGAGATGACATATCGATACCTTCAAATGAGTTTGCATACAAAATTAACGTCGGTAAAGTTTTACTTGTTCATCTCATATCATGTGTCATGAGAAGATATAGAATTACTAATGGACCGCTATCGATCATCTAATCCGGCCTGTGGACTAAAGACTTATTTTTCCATGTTTTGTATACTAGGGCTATGCAACTCGTCCGATTCTTCCATGGAATCATATCGGACCACCCATAAAAACATGTCCTGTTCCCGGTTCTAGTGGAAACAGGTCCGGTTTCTGATTCCAAGTTTTTGGAATTGGTACTGTGCGGGTTAGTTCCAGGTTATGGGTGTTGAATCTATCCACCCATTCGAGAACCAGTTAGGACCTGTTTTTTGAAATTGGAGAAGACAATTTATTATTCTTAAATGAACTTAACTTCCCTATTATGTTATATTTCTTAGGGGTGTGCAACCGGACTAAGTTTACCCAGGAATCAGACCGGACCACCCGAAATACAGGTTCAGGAACCAGTTCTTATTTGAACTGGTTTGGGAACCGATCGGGTTTCTGGTTCCAAGTGAAGACACACCTGGGAACCACACCGGTTTTTAGCTTGTATTAAAAAAAAAAACCCCTATATCATACTATTACTATATTTTGGATTGTTACCTTTTGTGGATAGTAATTTCAATTGTTCATCTTAGGGATTGTTGCTTGTGGCAGATAGTGATTTTTATTATTTTATTATTTTGAATCGTTTCATTGCTACTCATATTATTTTGCTTGAAAAAATGAAACTAGAAAAATGAACAAAAGAAAAACAGGTTCTCAAGTAGATGCTGGAACAAGACCAGAAAAATAGGATAGGTTCCAAAGCAAACGGGGTAGGTTCCAGGTTTCAAAAATTAGGAATCGGTTACAACAAGGTAAGTTCCAAGTTCTAGTTTTAAAACCTACCCACCCTGGAACTGATCATCCTTAATATTTCTGTTTGTTTTGTATCGATGTTTTACTTTCAACCGTTTTGTTATTCATATTGTTTTGCTACAATTGTTATTTGTCTTGGTTTTTTTTAAAATAAATTAAGCAAAAGAAACTGGTTCAAAATCGGTTTCAAAACAAAAAGGGTAGGTTCCAAGCTCCAAAAACTGGGAACCAGTTCTAACAAGGTAGGTTCTAAGTTTCACATAGGGAACCTACCCACTCTGAGACCGATCACCCGTATTGTATACGAATTACAAATCTAGCTTAGTATAAATTAATCCTATGGTTCTATTCAAACTACGTATCATCTTTAACCCCCTTATCTTCTTCTTCTGTTATAGTAAAAAACGCCCAGATTATTTACCATATTTGAGAAGATATCGTAAACCACTGAAAATGACGACTTCGTTCGAGGTCAAACAAACATGTCCTTCTCTTGTAACCCGAAAAGACCGGCGTACGACTTCGCGCCGTAGGTTATTTGATGCTTGTGCAGACGTAGGAGAGCCAACGAGTGAGATACACTTAATCAAATCGATATTAAACGCTGAAAATGGTGGCTTCGCTCATGGTCAAACAAATGTTTGTTGCCCGAAAAGACTGAGATGGAGATAAACTGCCTCATTAAGGGGAGAGAGAGAGAGAGAGAGAGAGAGAGAGAGAGAGAGAGAGAGAGAGAGAGAGAGAGAGAGAGAGATGGCGAGAAAACACTTTGCTCAGGAACATGGTTTGCTGCATTCTCATGATTCTGCTCCTCCATCTTCATTTGACCTCAGCTGGAACGTCCATCAATCCTCAAGGTTGCGGATATAGTAGTAAAAAACGGTACAGATCTCTCACAGAGATTTAATCTTAACATATGAAATTTCAGTCTCCTCCAGTTTCTCAAATAAAGTTATGTTGCGTGTTCTTTCGCCCTTTAATAATGTCCGTAAGAAATTTCAGTCTCCTCTAGTTTCTCAAATAAATTTCATCTTCTCTATTTAATATGTGATTAGAGTAAGAAGATAAAAGTCTTTCGCCTAAGCAAGGTCAAATTGTCCGAAAAGAAAAGGCAAGTTGACTTGTCTGCAGGTATTTCATTTATCATCCCTTCCATGAGATCATATCATATTACTAGATTTGGATCCTAGAAAATAAGCACCGGTTTCAGTTTCGTTCCTTCATATATCTTGATTGATTTTATCCATCACATTATTCGT